AGAGAAATGTTTAGATTAAAAGATATCACGATTTTCCGACGCCAGGACGTGATATCTTTCAAAATCGATAAAAAGCGAAATTACTCTGAAATGGTTGAGAATCGGACCATGGACAATATGAACTTTTTTGTTCATTTTAGGGTGAAGAATCTACTGGAGAAGTTTGTAGCACGAGTAGCAATTCACCCTGTATAAGTGGAAATAAATGGAAATATATGTTATAACATACGTGTAATAATTGTACATAAATAATGCTGTGAGTTTTTATAAAAGACATGGGCTTTAAATATTTTACACTGCCTATTTTATAGTAAAACTCCAGTTCCAAAGATAGAACAGGTTCAAGTAGAATCCGACTAATTTCAATTTGTCTTGTAACTGATTATTAAATTTTATTTTGTTTTCAAATAAAATTTCTCCGTTTTTAATCAATTACAAGATAAATTTAAATTATCAAATTCTGAAGACTTCAATTATTCTAAAGCAAATCTATGAGTTTTTTTATTTTCTGATATTATTGTTTTTGGAATGCACAGTTCTTTAAAAAAAATTTGAAAATTAACGTAATAAAAGTATAACTAAACAGTATGCAAATGAGTAAAAATAAAAGGCCATGTTTTTTATCAAAACACTAACGGTATACAGTAGAAGTGTGAATTTCATTTGCAAAAAGGTGAAATTGATATTCAACAGGGTGAATTTAATTTGTAAAAGGTGTATTGCAAAAGGGTGCATTAATTTTGCAAAACCCGTGTACAAACACAAGACGCGTCGTTTTTATATATTTATTTTCATTTTTAACATTTCCCGTTCATTTTGAATGAACGAACGACTTTTATCTCAAAATCACACAGTTGTGTCATGTTTAAATCGATTCATCATTTCCAAACAAATAATTCGAAAGTTAATATGAAATGATTGGTTTTGCAAGTGAGGCCCTGGCACGTTTCATTCAAGAACGTAGTGAAAAGATTTCTGTCTATGGCAATAATTTGATTGGATTGCTTTCGACGTGAGGCTAATTGAACAAATGCCCGTTTTATTGATGAACGTTCCATTTCCTTAACGAGGGGAAATCAGTTTAAAAGCCCGATAATTTATCTATTAACACGTAATTAACTATAAATGTTTTTGAAAATCATATTTGTTTTTCATCTATCATTGTTACACATTAATTCAAATATGATCAGATTGAGCTTAGGAATAAACGTAAGGACATATTTTAGTTGTGCTTTGTCCAAAGGCTGATTTGTCGTTAAAAATATCAAGTTTGATTTATTGCCAGTCGAATTGTTTGTGTTTATATAATGTTTTAAACAATAATAAGGCAGGTTCAGAATAGTTTCAAGAGCGCTCGTTCCTGTTTCGCACAATCAAACTGATTGGATGAAATTTAAATCAACACTGGATACAATAAACCAACAAAACGGAAAGTGTGTGCGTGTATGCGGACTTTAAAATAAACAAACGACCGCCGCGTGATTTGGAAGTTTAATTACAAACTTCGCGGGATAATTTTTTGCTGCCGCTCTCCGTTGATAGCCTCAACTAACATCATGATTTATCATCTCTTTATTGTGGTTATGTTTGTTTAGGATGATGGCTTGAACGTTTTATGAGTATGCTCAAGAACCGCGATACAATTAGTTGTAAATAGGTATGAAATATATTAGTAAGATATTTTTAAATGATTACTTACAATATCAACGCAAAAGCTAATTAATTTTTTTATAATTTCTTCTGTATTTTTAGCTAGAAATTGTTTTAATAAGAAAATGCATGTTATTTTTTTATATCAATCGTTATTAAAAAGAATTTGTGAAATATTTAAAGTAAAACTTTTAAGATCATTCAGACAAGATTCACTTTAATAACTAAATTTTTCTGACCAATAAATAATTCTATGTCCAGCTATAAGCTTGAAAAAGTCTTTGTATTTAAAAAAAAATTATTTACTACTCAATACTAGCTGTAAAATCGTCCTCACTCGACTGAGGATTGGCCATACGCGGTTGACACATGGGTACCTGCTTTTGGGCCAAAGCCCGCGCAGGTGCCACTTATGCAGAGAAAGGTTGCTCGATGTGTCCCACATAATAGAGGCGTGTCATGCCTTGGCTCCATACAGAGAGCGTGTAGGCATGTCGCCGGACTTAAGAAGAGTTCTCGAACACAGCGAGTTTCAGAGTCCCCTGTTCCGCTTTTTAGGGGGAATTGTGTTTTTATTGTATATAATATTTCTTATGTGTTGTGTGTCTATATGTTTTGTCTGAGTGCATGTATTTATTAGCGTGATTGGCGAGGGGTGATGGTGAAATATAACTTCATCATCGCCCCTCAAACGTTGAGAGCGTAAGAGTGTGTGTTCGAGGTGGATAATGGAATATTTATAAAAGTACTCCACGACCCCAATCTAGATTAGTTTGAGTATAGGTCGGTGGAGGAATATCAAGTACTCCACCGACCAAACGGAATGAGTGTACCGTATGGATGTATTTATATGTATGAATGTAGTTATTTGTACGAATGTAGTGTTTGGAAGGGTAAATAGAATAAAGACTTAGTTGGGGGCTGAAATGACCTAGATGTCGGAAGCCCCAGTCAAAAAAAAAAAAAAATACTAGCTGTAATCTGATTATATTACAAGTACATTTTTACATATTTTATTTGTAGCCTATACATATTCGTACATAATACAAAATACAGTACACGGTCACAGCACTAACACTTAGACAGCGCTACACTCGCAGTACACAGGCCATGAGAAGTCAGCCGGACCCTCAGGGTGGGGAATTAAGAGGCAAGGATGTCTCTAAGCCATCGACGCAGTAGTAGAGTTAGGATGGATTGGTGTTGAAACTTTTAGAATCAGCTCGTTGAGAAAAGGAATGCTGAAGTCGTTGTGGATTAGAGACGATTTGTCGGATAACTTTTGATTGGAAGGATTGGATGCGCTTGAAGTTGGATGATTTTATTACAATCAATTACGTTTTATGTCTTTAGTTTAAAGTTTATAACCCTAAATTACGATCTCAGGAAATTATTGCACTTTTAAATATTTCCGTTTATGTATTCAGAAATGGCAACCAATTAAATTTATTTGCAATCTGAGGTTGATAGGGAGAATCGCCAAAGTCAGAGCGTTCTAGCAATCGCTCTT